ATACTGTCAAGAAAATATACATTCAGCAAAGTACAAGAGACCTTCTGTAATAAAAACTAAGAGCAGGTAAATTGAAGCTTGTCTAGCAATCAATGTTTCAGCATTTTATGCTATTTTAAAATATTCAGATGTTTGTCATTTAACCCAGCAATACTTCAAAGTCTTTAAGTTACCAAAGATTTTGGAAATTTATGTATGGGCATATGAGGTTGAGGAAAAGGTATGGGGGGTAGGGGGAGGGAGCAGGCTCAGCAGCCTCTTTCCAGGTCTCTAGCCACTTGGATTTAAAACTGCCACATTTTTCCTGAGAGATAACATGCTAAGGTTTGGGTGATAATGAGTTTAGCTTCTGATAGGAGCAGGATTGTTAAGTGCAGTTTTGTAGTAAATAAAGTTGCTCTTTGGGAAGGGGGTGATGTTGTGAGAAGGTGGTGAGGTCAGAGCAGTTTTCAGGGCATTTAAGGAGGTGAGAATGCTGGCCTTGGGATCAAAAGGCTCAGTGAGGAATCCCTTCGCTACGTCATAGAGGGGCTTTGCGAGACGACTAAAGCTGGGAACCAGAGGCGAGAGTACCCAGCCAGCCCAAGAAAGGAGAATATTTCTTGTCTGGAGGAGGGGACAGTCATGGAGGAGATAAGGCATTTAGGGTCCACGGAAATGACTCAGCTTTGTGGGGTGAGAGTGAAACTGAGGTAGGTGCCTGTTGTTAGGGACACTGGGTTTTATGGGGGGGATGCCCGGTAGCCCCAGTTGGGCACTGAGCTACAAGGAGAACAGAGTCAATAAAGGGGTTCTCTACTAAGATGCAGTAGAGTAAGGAGGTTAATGGTTGTGAGACTAGTCTGTCAACACCGATGATATAAACTGAGGCAGGGATAAGTTACCCCAGTGCCAATTAAAAGGTAATTGGTTTACCTGCTACCACAATCATTCCTGAGGCTCTGTCCTGGTGATGTAAGTCTGTGGGGCCTTGTCAGGGCCTGGGCAGTTTCAGTGTTGGGTGGCCAGTTCCAGAAGGTATGGGATCTCCATACTGGATCCAGATGGAAGCTTTGCTGAGGTCCAACCTGGAGGGGCCAGACTACAGTCTCATTTCCAGTGGCCTTTTTGCACACTGGAGTGTAGGGTTTTAGCAGGACTTGGTCCAGTGTCCTCCCTTGTTGCATTTGAAGCATGGGCCCAGAGGAGTTTTAGGCCCTGACCTACCATTAGTTGGAGAACCGGCATTTTGTTTGGGGTTCATGAGAGCGGTGGCTAGGAGCTGGAAGGCCTCCTTCTGGGCCTCAGGCTTGGAATGATATCACCTCTTTTTGGATTTGCGCCTCCTCATCTCTATTATTAAAGCCCTTAATGGTCAGGTGAATGAGGTCTTTTGGAGGGATTTATGGACCTGTGTCTATTTTTCAAAGTTTGTGGCGTATGTTGGGGGCTGATTGGCAAATAAAATGGGTGCCTCTGGGAAGGTGGAGTGTAAGGTGATAAATTTCTGTAAGGCCTCTGTGAGGCAGGAGAGGAAGAGAGCTGGGCCCGGAGTGATTTTAAGTTTGTCAAATTCTTTAGTAAAGGCGGTCTGGTCAGTGGAAAAAGACCTGAGACACCTCTCAACCTGTGTGATGTCGGACATGGACCATGGGACATGTACCCAGACAATACCCTCAGTTACTGCTACTCCCTCAGAGGTAGAATGGACATGGGAATAGAAGAGGCTGTGAGGAGGGTGGTCTTTGGATGGCCTGAGAGGCTGTTAGGTGGGAAAAGGCTATTTTTGTTCTTGTATTTGGGCTCTCAGGGGCCAGGGGAAAGATGGTTGTTGGTTAAGAGGGTCTGGGTTTTTGGGAATCTGCCGGGCTGACTAGCAGATATAGAGTGACAGAGGTATGATTACTGTGACACAGGATTGCTGTGAAAGGGAGGACTAAGGGACTGCCTGGCTAAAGGAACCAGACAGCCTGGATTGCCTGCCTCTTCAGGCTTTTATTGTAACAGCAGTTTGAGATAAAGTTTATCTTTTAGATTCAGTCAGTAGGGTAAGTAATCTTGGGAGGACACATGTCTGCAATGTCCTTTAAGTAAGGACACCTAAAGATTAAGCATAAAAATTCCAATAAAACACCCAGGGCTCAGACTTGTTTGGAAAAGTCAAGGCAGGGTCTGCCCCCTTTGGCAAGGTCCCTCCAACCTTTCGAAGATTTCTCCTTACAGACTTGCCAACCAAGTCCCATGATTCCCCACAGGAATCTGCTACAAGTGAGGAAGGGTATGTGTAAGGGGGTGAAGGTTGGTGGTCTGCTGGGTCAAAAGTAGATTCAGAATCAGAAGTGTTCGGGGTATGATATTTTGTGTGAAGAAGAATCTGATGTGTCGAGCAGGACTGACAGAGAGAGGGTGGAGACTGGAGGGTGAAAAGGCGTGGACGTAGGGAATCTCTGAATATTTTCCACTGTGGTGTCAGCAATTACCTAAACTGTGCAATGTGTTAAAATTGCAAGTGCTGCCTCACACTTTTGATTTCTGTCTTTATTTCATTGTTAAGAATTAGGTTGTGCCCTAAGTGGTTTGGCTCAGTGGATAGAGCGTCAGCCTGTGATCTGTTTATGTCCCAGCCTTCTATTCTAGTTCTAGTCTGAGAACTATTCCTCAGTTTGTAATTTTTAAGTAATAACTATCTTGTTTTTCATGCCATGACAAAATATCATATCCCCAGGAGTAGCACACTGGGTTCCAAAGAGTGTTGATGGTATCCTTTCAACATTAACTCATTAATTACCTGTTTCCGTTCACTAAATGTTCCTTTAAAGGGGGTAGCCTAGAGACCTTGAACCACAGACAGCTGACCTTAGCAACTCAAGAAAACAGTGGAAGCTGTTGCAAGACCATGGGAGGAGATATGGTTCATTTCTGACTGTTCTTTCAAGTACAGGGGGTTGTGGCTCCAACAAGGGGACAGGGCACCTCCTCCTGCACCTGTGCACTTCAGGGAAGGGAGAAATCACTAGCATTTTGAGCCCCTTACTGAGGCGTGTTGCTGCACTGCATTCTGGGACACAAGTGAGGTGAGAGTGACCCTGGGGGTGCTATGTCCTTTGCCACAAGCCATGGAGATGAAATTCTGGAGCGTTATTCCACAGGAGAAGTCACCAGCTTGGGGGGGGGGGGGGGGCCTGCACACTCTGGAGGTACATCTGAGGTGAGGAGGCCATGGGTAGTCAGCACATGCACTTCTGAAAACACAGGGGAGTGTGCGCAGGACTCAGGGAAGGCTCTTTAGGAACCAGTAGGTTTTGTGGGTCTCCTAGAGGCTAGGAAAAGGCAGGGCATCCCCTTTGACATTGTTGGTGTATTGAACTGTTGTGAAATGTGCTTCCTGGCCCAGAGGGGCATGTTCTTCATGACATGGGCTCTGAGTTCTGTCCAGAGTCACCTGAGGCTACATTTTGCCAACACTAATTGTCTTTCCACTTAGGAAAAACAAAGTATGAATATTAAACTAAAGGGACCACTTGTGTTTATTCTGACATTAGATTTGGCTATTTCCACCTAACTGATCTCATAGCAGAAAATTAACAAAGTGATATAGGTGTTGCAGTTAAACATGTTTCCCAGAGAGCAGGCACAGATTTGGCTTGAGATGGGAAATATAAGGATGGAAAAGGCCTCAAGACCTACCCTGGGAAGACATGAGGCTGATGCCCAAGGATTACATTAGGACATTCCCAGGCTGACCTCACTTGTGCAGACCAGTTAGATCCCCCATTTCAGATCATAGCATTTCCTGAATAGGACTCCAGAACCCTGGTGTCACCTCAAAAGTGGGGGCCAGGGGCCCTATCACTGTCTAAGCAGTTGTGTGAATGAGGGCAGAGGCTGCCCGAGAGGCTGTTTCCTAAAGTCAAATTCAGTATCAAGAACGTCCTGTTGTGGCCTGTGCTCTTCTCCAGACCTCTCAGTTCTTTATCAGAAGGACGCCAAGGTGGTAGAAGGAAGTGTTGCACATGCAGAACAAGTTTACCATTTTTGTTGTTTCATATTGTTTTTAATATTTGCACATACTGTTTCAAGAGTAGTTATGACTTTCAAGAATGCAGTTACACCACCATCAAGACAGAAAACACTAGATCAACCCAAAGGAACACAGTCGTGGTGGCGGTTTATACTGTATCCCCTTTGAACAGGGATTTGTTACAGGTTCCTCCAACCCTGGAGCTTTTCCGGAATGTCTCGCAGTGGATCACCATGTTGTCTTTTAAGTCCTGTTTATAAACTTTGACACTGCATTCGCAAGGATACAGAATTATACAAGTCTAACAGTGTTCTTCTGAGTTAAAGTTTTTGACTTTGGACAATACAACACACATTAGGACTTCAAAATGGAGATTCTACTATTATGAGTTATGTAAATTGGGACAAGATTTCTGCTTGCCTTTCTTCATTTGCATGGTGGGAGGAATGATGGGGGCGGGGGTCATAGGAGATACCAATGATCATAAAATCATAAAATATCTACACCGCTAAGAAAACAAATTAGCACTGAAAGGAGAAGAGGGACCAAATCTTGATATCCTTTACTCTTCAAAGAAATAAAAGCAACATCTTTCCCCCCATGTTTCATAACATCTCCTGGAAGTGTAAACATGGAAATGACCCCTGGAAACAGCAAAAATGAACATGGACGGCTTGGTGCCTTCTGTTGAAACAAAAAACTTTCAGCTACTCCTCTTATCAAAGGCACAGAAAATGTCCCACTTCCACGATATCAAATCTACCTGCTTTCCTGATACTCTCAATTTTTCCTTAGATCACTGTCCTCTAAACATCAATGGCTTCCTGGTGTTTTAACCACAAAACCACGTTGGACTTGCACAGGAATCATTCTATTTACAGAAAACCCATATGTGTACAATTGTGCAAATGACCAGAACTTTCGTCAACCGGGAGGAACTCAAACGTTTCAAAAGGTACACAAATTGTGTCACTCTGTTTGAATAGCAGGAAAATGATATGCCATTTCAAAAGTGAATTTCAAATTATTTCCATTGGTTTTAAATAGAAACACCATGGCCTAAAGCAGTGAGAAGTCCTTCATGTCACACACCCATGTCCATATTCTTAATGAAGTAGCACATGCTCTGAAACTTACAACCATGTCTAGAGCTTTCGGGAAAACCATTGCTGAAACCCAGGAAGGCAGAACTTTGGGGATGTTTGCCCATTGTTTAAATCCACACTCTAGCAGATCCACAAGTCTTTAAGAAGTATTACATGGGAGGAAAGATGATGATGACACCCCATTTACTGAGGCCCCTACCCTCCATAATGAAGATATATAATCCATCCACTTTCCAAATTATCTCCCCTGTGTTTGCATTTACTTACAACTTTTTAAAATATATACTAGTAAAATATACTTTTTTTGACTTTTTGAGAGGCAAAGTAAAATAGAAACATCAATGAGAATGAACATACATCAGCTTCCTCCAGCACACACCTCACTCGGGATCGAGCCCCCAACCTGGGCATGTGCCCTGACCATCAATCAAACCATGACCTCCTGGTTCATGGGCTGATGCTCAACTACCAACACACACTCACCTGGCAACAACTTCATTTTCTAAGAAACCAAAGCTTTTTTATTTAACTAGTATCTCCTTTCCTACAAAAACTTAAGCACCAGCAATGCAAGACATTTTTTTTTTTCGTGCCTGTATAGCATGACTTGGGCAGGTTTGCTAAATTAGGCATGTTTTCCATTGCCTGGCATGTGCAGGACATTGACATTATCATGATCATACTTCCACCTTGGCCAGGAAACTCAGTTGATTAGAGCTTTGTCCCAATGTGCCAAGCTTGTTGGTTCATTCACAGGTCACACACAAGAATCAACCAATGATTACATAAATAACTGGAACAACAGATTGATGTTTCCCTTTCTGGCTCTCAAGTCAACTTTTTTTATTTTTTTTTATATTTTATTGATTTTTTACAGAGAGGAAGGGAGAGAGATAGATGGTTAGAAACATCGATGAGAGAGAAACATCGATCAGCTGCCTCCTGCACATCTCCCACTGGGGATGTGCCCGCAACCCAGGTACATGCCCTTGACCGGAATCGAACCCGGGACCTTTCGGTCCGCAGGCCGATGCTCTATCCACTGAGCCAAACCGGTTCGGCAAGTCAACTTTTTTTAAAAGGTGAGGGAAAAAGTCAAATTCTGTCAGCAAGAACAGCTTCTGGGAAGAGAGATCATAACTTTGTTTTCTTGCTAGGTTTGTGTTCTTTGATGATATTCCTAAATTTATAAACTTCAGTTGACCGATAAAGGAGTTAACCAGTTACATATCTTGTTAGGAAGTACGTAATTTTATATTAAGATATATGTAATATAGATACTTAACTGAGGTACTTCTTGGAAATGTGCCCAATACAGCAAAGTAAATATTTCAGTATTTAGGTAACAAGAAAGGCAAACGCTGTTCGACAACTGGTTCCTGGCCTTATACTCCCTGTGGAAAAGAAAATGCCAAACGTCCATCATCACACAGAGCTACTCCATGACCCCAATGAATCAAGACAAAAGCAAAGGTATTCATGTCTGCACGTGTAATCAAGGAGAACAGGTTTCAAAGAAATAAAAATAACCAATATTGCTTTTCTCACTAATACGATTTGTGCTTCTTACAGTTTTGATTTAGCATGATTTTTTCTGCCTTCTAAAGAAAAATCATTATCATTATGCAAGATAGGATGAAGTTCATTTCCTCCCAGAATTCAATGCAGAAAAATGTATTGCTTCCTTAATGGAAGTCAAATTGTCTATCACAAGGCAAAATATAACAAAAAATTCTTTGAAGGCTGCTGTTACTGTTACATCCCAGGCATTTATGGTTTCTGGTCATGCTTATTATTTCAATTCATTTCACTTTTATTACAGATGTGATTGTGTTGGTCTTTGGCTGAAGGGGACTAAAAAATACATGACTGAAGTTTTTAATACTTTGAACGAATAAGAAACTAGTCTGCTCCAAACATTATAAGTATACAGATAAGAAAAAATATAATTTCCCTGAGGAAACCATGTCTTAATATGTACACACATGACACTTGCGACTCAGAGTGTATAATGATTAAATGGAAAAAATGACAAATTGATCTGAAAATACATAATTACTATGGGATAATTAAATACATCCTCGGGAAATAACAAAACACCATAACATGTCTTAGCATAAGAGTGGTTGGGAAACAGTTAATATTTCATTAAAAATTACTGAATCACTGCCCTAGATGGTTTTGCTCAGTGGATAGAGCAAGAGCCTGCAAACTGAAGGATCGGGGGTTGATTCTAGTCAAGGGTACATGCCTGGGTTCCAGGCTTGATCCCCAGTAGAGGGTGTGCAGGAGGAAGCTGATCAATGATTCTCAACATTGATGTTTCCATCTCTTTCTCCCTCTCCCTTGCTCTCTGAAATCAATAAAAAAAATTTTTTTAAAAAATTAGATGCATTTATTAAGAAAAAAGGCACATAAACCAAAGATAACTGAAAAGGTTGAGAGATTTGGCTCAGCTCTGAGTGACAGCACACATCAGAGTCTGCCTGAAATGAGGAAAGTGCCAATTCTCACATGGAAGGACTGGCTCAGAGCCCTTACTGCAGAGGGTGGTACAAGAGCAAACTGTCATGGGGCTCCTTGGCACTGCACCATTGCAGCTGTCACAGTGGCATCTGAATCACAGTCAGTAGTAGAACCAACAGGACAAGATGATTTCTAGACAAATTAGACCTCATGCAAATGCAATCTAGAGAACAGTACATAACTTTCAGAAAACAGCCTCACCCATGACAGTCTACATTTACCTGTTGGACACCTATGGGCTTTCAGGAAAAGCCAACCTAAGCTGGGTCTTTAATGTTGAATTCTGAACAACTGTAAGCTTACTTACAACTGACATCAAGGGAAATGAAGCAGTGGCTGGCTGATTTGAGGAAAGTCTTGGCTGGCAGGGTAAAGATTGAGAAAAACAAACTGAAATATTCTCTTCTTAATGTGAACTCCATAGCACAATTCCCAGCGAAAAGCCACACTCACACACACACACACACACACACGCACACACACAGACACACCCACACGAAAAGAATACACAGGGGTACTCTATAGTGAACAGTAAATATGCATGAATATATGGCAATACTTCTTGACTAAAATAGTGAATTTCAAGTGCTATTGAAAAATTAAAAAAGAATATATATGTGTGTAGGGCCTATTCATTCAATTCCTGTCAGGGCACATGGCAAGACAACACATCGAAGTTTCCCTCTACTTCTCTCTGCCTTCTTCACTCTAAAGCATCAATTTAAAGAAACTAACAAAAATAAGAATGAATACTGATAATGACCAAATATGTCAAAAGTTTATAGAACTTCTTTAATGCTGTGAGTTTTGGGGAGTATATGACTCAATTTTCAACAGGCTTACATGTACCAGTTAGATACACTAACAGGATTTCCTACTAGTGCAGTTTTCTAGCTACTCTGAAAGTATTTGTGAAAACTTTAAACTTTTTTGTTGTTGTCAATCATACAGTATACATTCTCACATGGTATTGTAGGGATATGAGGCAACATGAAGGTTTTCCAACATTTTTACATTCAATACAACTCTCCACTTTGAGTTTTTTTCATGATCTTTCCGAGGAAAAGAAACAGCTGAAGGCTTTACCACCTTCACTCTATGTATACACTATTTCTCCAGGTGCATTCTCACATGTCCAAGACAGGCTCTCCCAAATTCCTATGTTCATACAGTTATTCTTGAGTGTGAGTCCTTTCATGATTTTGTAAAGAACTAGGATGGCCAAAGGCTCTTCTACCATGTTCACATGACAGCGCTTCTCTTCAGTGAGTTCTTGCATCCTTTACAATAAACTGGGAGAAATGAATGCTTTCTAACCCTCTTACATTTCTAGGACCCATCCCCAATAAGGATAATCATGCATGATAGCACAGCTGAGAGAAAAATGAAGGCTCTTTGTTATTCTTTTTTTTTAAAAAAAATATTTTATTGATTATTTACAGAGCAGAAGGGAGAGGGATAGAGAGTTAGAAACATCAATGAGCGAGAAACATCTATCAGCTGCCTCCTGCACACCCCCTACTGCGGATGTGCCCACAGCCAAGTTACATGCCCTTGACTGGAATCGAACCTGGGACCCTTCAGTCTGCAGCCCGACGCTCTATCCACTGAGCCAAACTGGTCAGGGCTCTTTGTTATTCTTTACATTAACAGTGTTTATCAATAGATTTTGCTTCCACGTGTCTGTAAAAACTAACTGGGAAGCTGAAGGGTTTACCACCTTCCTTAAATTGATTTGGTTTTTCTCCATTATGAGAATTTTTGTTAATTTGAAAGGATCTGGGATGACTATAGGCTATCCCACATCGCTTGCATTCATAGGGTTTCTTCCCACTATACATTTCATGACATCTCAGAGAAAAGGGATGGCAAAAGGTTTACCTCATTCCTTATTCATGAGGCTTTTTTTCATCATGACTTTTTTTATGTCTACCAAGATGTGTGACGCAACTGAAGATTTTCCCACATTGCTTAAATTCGTAAGGTTTTTTCCTAGTATGTGTTCTTCCATGCTTTCTAAGAGACTTGTAGAAGCTGAAAGTTTTACCAAATTCCTTACATTCTTAAAGCTATTCTCCAATGTGTGTGTTTTCATGTCTGGGAGCGTGCAGGAGGTAAACATCAATAATGCTGTCTTTCTCTCTGACTTCCACTCTCTCAATGGAAAAATATCCTCAGGTGAGGCTAAAAAAAAAAAAGAAAAAAAAGAATTAGCCCTGACCAGTTTGGCTCAGTGGATAGAGAGGGATAGTTAGAAACATTGATGAGAGAGAAACATCGATCAGCCACCTCCTGCACACTCCCCACTGGGTTTGTGCCCACAACCAAGGTACATGCCCTTGACCAGAATCAAACCCCGGACCCCTGAGTCAACAGGCCGATGCTCTATCCACTAAGCCAAACCAGTTAAGGCTAATCGATGTTTCTAACTTTTTATCAATCTCCCTTCCTCTCTGTAAAAAATCAATAAAATATATATTTTTAAAAAAGACTTGGGATGGTCAAAGCTTTTGTACTATCTTTACACAATAGGGCTTTTTTTTAGTGTGAGTTCTTTCATTCATTATGATTTCTCTCCACAATGCAGTTTTTGTGGATTTGAAGGGAACTGGGATGAATAAAGGCTTTCTCCCATTACTTACATTGATAGGGATTTTCCGTATTATGAGTTCTTTCGTGACGTTGAAGGGAAGTTGGATAAGAGAAAGCTTTACCACAATAACTACATTCATAAGGTTTTCCCCCAGTATGAATACTTTCATGAAGTCGGAGGTGATATTGATCAGGGAATGTTTTACCACATTTCTTACATTCATGAGGTTTCTTTCCGGCATGACTTCTTTTATGTTTTCCAAGAGAGCTGAGCCAACTGAAGACTTTCCCACATTGCTTACATTCATAGGGTTTCGTCCCAGTATGAGTATTTTCATGATTTCTAAGGGAATAGTGATGATGGAATGTTTTACCACATTCCTTACATTCATGAGGCTTCTTTTCTTTATGACTTATTTTATGATTTGCAAGAGAGCTGCTGGAACTGAAGGCTTTCCCACATTGCTTACATTCATAGGGTTTTTCCCCAGTATGAGTTCTTT